GATGTCCAGGGTCTTGTGCGTGCGTGTGCATGCGTGTGCGTGCGCACACGTGCTAGAGAAAGACCTAAGATGGCCCTAAGACTTTGCCTCTGACTCTGCACAAGTAGCAAATGAAGGCTGAGGCAGAGCCACACACGGCTCACAGGGGCACTGTGGGCACACACCATCATTCAGAGATCCTTGACAAAGGCTAGGTGTATCAGTTCTATGCATTAATGGATAACTGTATGTGGCCGATAATCTATACAGACTTCAGAAGACACAGAGCGTACATAATAGACCAAGAACTAGGTTAAGATGACAGCAAACAAGCAACAAGACCAAATCCCAGGAAAGAAAAAGGGACAAATATCCAAAGAGAGCTCATTTAATATATTTTTACATGACCAGTTTTTAGCAAAAAACAAAAAGCTGATAGAGACAATAAACAATGAAGTACAGTGTGTACAGATGGGAGGGGGAATAGCACCAGCAGAAAGACACAGGCCCCCAGGCTTACTAGACGAAGCCATTGAAACCGGCAACCTCAAAATTCATATAGTACAAAGAGTTTATAGAAATTGTATTTCAATAAAGGGGGGAAAACTTTGATGTTAATTTCAATGGGATAAATTATAATTATACTGACAATAAGAAAACAATCAAATGTGGATAAGGGTATTGACAACAGCCCACAGCCCTTACAGCCAAGCTACAAAATCTCCCCGATATACTGTTACTCAGACTGTAATAATTCAAAAAAGGGATCGGGTATAAAGTATTTATAATCTTGCCCAACAAACTTCCCAGTGAAAAACAATATGGGGGTGGAACCAAAATGTAAGCAGCAGCCATCTCATAACAACAGTAGGGGTAATTTTCTACCTTAACTAATGATTTCTACAACGAGACAAAGCGATACAACAGCCATTTATGACTGAATTTTAAAAGCTCTGAGCAAACCAGGGGTCAAGGATAATTTCCTCAATCTGATCAAAATGATAAAAAAGTAATAAATAAATGATTACATGCGTCCTTTAAGGTAAATTATTTGTGACTACTTATTCACCACAACTAGAGGTCCCAGCCAGTGCAATGCGACAGGAAAATGCAGACAGCTGGGCAAACATGAAATAAAACTGCCTCTGTGGGCGAAATGCACGAATATGCAGAAAACCCCAAGGAGTCCACAAAAGTCACAAGTCCTGATGAGTGAGTTGGCCAACACTGTAGGATTCAAGGACAGTATGTAAAGACCAACCTATTTATAGCAGTAATTACAAATGTGTAAGTTCACGGATGCCATTTATAATAGCACCAAATGAACAAACATACAAAGGCAACAAAACAGGAACAAGATGTTTCTGCTGAAAGCTGAAAATCAGTGAGAGAAACCTAAGTCCTGAGTAAGCAGAAGCATCAGCGTCACTCACCCAGAAGTGATTTATAACTTAGATGCAGTCCTAACAAAATCCTCACACTTCTAGAGAAGGTAAGCTGCCTCTAGGAATTACACAGGAAGAAAGGGAGCTGTAACATCTGAAACAATTGGAAAAATAACAAAGCTAGAGAATTCAGTCTTCCTGATTTCAGGGCATACTGTGAAACACAGCAGAGTGGTTTGCACCAAAGGAGAGATACACAGAATGCTATCTTAGAACAGAACAGAATGACTAGAAAGAAACAGCCACACGCATACAGTGAACTGCCTACCCACCCCACAAAAGCGCCAAAGAGAACCTTGCCGGAGGATGGTAAGAATGATTCTCCCAGATGCTACCAAAACTGTGCACATGGGAAGGAAAGTGGGCAGAGAAAGGCACAACCTACACCTCACATTACAAACAAAAAGTAGCTGACAACAGATCCTCAGGACAATACCTAAAACCACAAAGGGTCTAGAGAAAAATCAGAAACTCCTTGCAAACTTGGGTCATGTATAAATCATTAAAAAAGGAAAAAGAGCTGATGCAATGGATTTTGTAAAACTGAAGTTTCACTCATTCCTTTCAAGTGTCAGAAACAAAACACTTGAGAACATATACACACTGAGACATATATTGAGACATATATTGCACGTGTGTGTGTATATACATACATACATACATATTATGTAACTAAGGTCTATGTTCAGACTGAACAAAAAAATTAATTATACAATAAAATGGACAAAAACTTTGAACAGATGCCTCACAGAAGAACACAGAGATGGCAAACGGCAGCACAGGAAAAAGTCTTACATGTTAGTTAACTAAAAACTCAAATAAAATCATCTGTGAGAACCAGGCATACAGGCTGTAATCCCAGCTTCGGGAGGTGATGGCATGAGAATCAAAAGTTCAAGACTAGCTTCAGCAAAGAGCTAGCTGGAGGCCCTATTGGGCTATTTGAGACCATCCATGTCTCAAATTAAAAAAAAAAAAATGAAAAGCCAGTGATTCCTGCTAAAGCACGAGCTTCAATGCCAAAAGCCGCTAACGCACAGCAACCTGAACCATCAAGCCTTACTTGAGTGCAGCATACAGCAGCCGCCATGGAAAACAGTACTGCTTAAAAAGTTAACCATGCACCTGCCACCTGACCCAACATTCCACTTCTCAATATTTAAACAAAGGAAATGAAAATGTCTCTGAATGTACCCCAAAATGAGTTTTTATAGCAGCTTCATTTCAAAATACAAAACTCAGAAACAACCTAAATGTCCACCAACTAGTGAGGGAGTAACACTGTGGTCTACTAGCATAAGGAAATAATGCTCCCCTTTTAAAGGAGGCACAAAGTGCTGCCACGGGCACCTAAATGGGTGAACTAGAAAAGAGTTCGGTGAAATACTGTGGGAAGGGCTGAAGGGATAGCTCAGCCGTTAAAGGCTAGGCTCACAACCAAAAATATAAGAAATTCTGTGGGAACACAGGGTTGCACTGTATCATTTCACTTACACAATTCCAGAAAGGGGAAAAATGGACGGGGAATAAATCAGTAGCTATCCGGGATGATGCCAATGAACAAACCGGTGATGTAATGTGAACAGGCATTTGTCAGAGTGCACACAAAGACATACTAATTTAATTAGTGGAAGGTCCGCCATAAACTAAAATGTGAAAGAAATGTCCTTTGAGAAAATGTGCTTAACTCCAACTCAAATAAACTAAACCCAAGTTACTGGGAACTTGAGTAAGAAAAGAGACACAGAGAAACCAACCCCCTAAAAATGCCACCAGATCTAAAAGAAAAAGAAGTGTAATTAGTAAGAAATGGATACAGAGTGGCCTTTCAAAAGTTTACATTGTACAAGAAATGAGAAAACATAATGCAAAGTTATAGGGAACAGGTTGCCAGTGGGCGCTGTGATTGTGAACCTTAGAATTTACACCTTTTTCTCCTTTTCCATACGCAGAAACATCTCACCCACCTCAACCCATTCCTACTCGGCTTGTGTCGTCAAAAAGAGTCCCTTCAGTTTTCCTTATTCTTAAAAATCCCATACACTTTACAAATCTTGACAGGAGCTGGGTGTTCAATATAAGTGCCAACTCCTGTCTCTCCATCCAAGCTTGAGACAAGTTAAAGATCATCTCTTTTTTTTTCACTGCCACAAACACAGACACACAAGAGAACAATGTTTCTCTGGATGACTTTTGCAGTTTCCTTTTTCTGTGAGGAAGATTACAATTTTTCTTGAAAAAAAAACTCAAAATTCCAGGGCTAAATACCCACTAAGACGATATACATATATTTTACATCTCATAAAAGAGGTGAGGCTTAACTCTCTCGTTTTTGTTTTATGTTTATTGCAATGGGGAGGGGAGGATTGTGCTGCTGCTAAGCAACCAGGGTTCACATTTCCCAGCCCACGGAAATGCCTCCTAGACATCTCGGAGGGGATTGACACACCAAACTTCCTCAGCGGGCAATCCTCCTCGCACCACCACACTGCACCAAGGTGGTGTCGGCGGGGGTCCTAGCATCTTCCCGGGGTCATTTTTTACTCCCACCCAACAGGTGCAGGGCAGACAAACTCCCAAGGCAACAGAGAGGTGGGGCTGGGAGGACCACGAGGGGCGGGGAGGGCTCCGCGCTCCTCGTCGGTGGCCGCCACTCCCCCTTCCCCTGTGAGTACCCGGCCCGCGGGCTCTCTGCCTTTCAGATCCTGGGGTGAAGAGGACGGCTGGCCCAGCCCCGGGGACGAGATGGCAATCATCACCCTCCCTCCCCTCAACCAGGCGGCGTGCGAACGTATTCCTGAGCCACGCACCCACCCACCGACGCGGGAGGTTGGAGACTGGGGAGGGGGAGACGGACGGTAGAGTCGGTTGTGTGCACCGTGGAGGAAGAAATCCGGGAATCGCGGGGTGGTAGAAGCGGGGTTAGGCAGCAGCGAGGAAGCTCGGCTGAGCCCCGAGCCTTCACGCAACCCCCAAACCACCACCACCACCAGCAGCAGCAGCGCCCGGCGCTGCCCGGAGAAGCCCGGATGCAGAGCCTGCACCTCCGGACGAGGAGGAGGAGAAAAGAGGAGGAAGAAGCGGCCGCGCACACGCGGCGCCCGCTGCGGCACACGGAGGGCGAGCCCTGCGCCAGGCGCTCGTCTCGGGTGGGAACCCGGAACGCGCGCGGGAGGGTCTGGGCGCGTCACGTGACCCGGAGGACTCCCGGGGCGCACGGCGGCGCCGGTTCCTCCCCCACCACCCCCAAAAGAGAGAGAAAAAAAAAAGCCGAAACCGGAAGGGGTGCGCCGCTCGGCGCCGGCGGGAACCGCGGCCGCTGCGGCACTTCCGTTCCGCCGGAGCTGCCGCCGCGGCGCGGCCAGCACGCCAGCAAGCTTTCCCTCCGCACTCGGGGCCACCACGGAGGCGCAGGTGCGCCGCACGGGCGAGGACTTCCCCGACCCAGCTCCCGCGAGCCGCCTGACCAGCCGGCCGGCCGAGGACTCGGGGCCGGCGACAGCTCGGCCACGTTCCCACCCGCGAACGCCCGCGCGCGTCCGAGAACCCGGACCCTGGTGGCGAGCACCCATTTACCTGCGCCCGCCGCCGCTGTGCTCCCCGCGCTGCTACGCGTGCACCACCAGGACACGAGCCGGCACACCCACCCCTCCCGGTGACACCGGGCCCCAGGTATCCCAGTTGGGGCTGCCCACGCACCACCCAGCGTCCAGGACCTCCTCGCCGGAAGTTGATTTCCACCCCAAGGCCCGCCCAGGCTTGCGCGCTGCGCTGCAGTCCACACCTCCCCCACCCCCAAACCCGGGCTAGTCACGTGACCCCCAGTAGGTGGCCAGCTGAACCTCGTTGAGGAGAGGTTCAGCCAGCTACCTGTGGAATGGACCGACCTTGGTTTACACTGCCCAAAGTGAGCATCCTCGGAAACCGCATCGTGCCTTGTCCTCTTTGTCCTGAGTGGCTGCTCCACTCCAAACCGAACTCTCCACCAAATGTTTGTTCCTCGGCCGGCTAAGGCCACCAGAAGAGCCTCCTAGTTGGGTGGGTGCTTCCTCAGATCATTGCACACTGCAGTAGATGGGCTTTGGCTTGTGCTTTCCCTGACCTCCCTCAAGAGCTTCCTCCTACTTAAGGTTCTCTCTCATTGTGTCTTAGCAGAGAGACCCTATAAAAACCACCTGCACCAAACAGAATGTGTCTCCTTTGCGAAACTCGAAGATGCCACGCGAAGAGCCTTCTTCTAACCCCTTCACCACACTCACTCACAAGCACCAGGCTGTATGGCGCGCTCAAGAAACGAATGATGAGACCATCTGACCCTCGTGGCTTAGCAGCTCTCTCAAGTCCCCTGGACGTGCCTAAGCTAAAAGCTTGTCTAGACCGCTATGGATTTTGAAGAGCTCTTCTGCCCTAGGACTGTAGTAGCTCTTGTTCTCCGGTCTGATTATAGCAGATCAGCCATGCTGCTACTCTGTTGAAGGCAGTTGATTTTTCAGCTGCCATGACTTTTCTTTCCTCATTCTTGTGGGTTTTTGTTTTAAAGGGAGAGTGGTTGGGTAGCACACTTGCCCAGGTGATTTGGATACCATCCCCACTTACCAATTTTTACCAAATGTATACCATTTGACTTGGGACTAGTCAAGTGGTAACCGTCGGGGACTGAACCAGACACCTCCGAGTTGTTCCACTGCCTAGCACTTTGGGCCTTTTGAGTGTGAGCCCCTGGATGGCGTCTAGTCGTCATACGCAGGGCATTCCTAAGCATCTTGGGAATTGCTTTTCTCTCTTCCACCAAACAAAACGGACTGAATTGCTTTTCTCTCTTCCACCGAACAAAACGGACTGAACTTCATGTAATCTCTAAACTCAAAGTGGGAAGCAGTTGTCAACAGGACCCTGCCACGCCTCCCCCGAGCCGGGCAACTTGAAGTCATGAGTGGACAATTGTAATGCTGAGCGGATCAGTACCACAGAGCAGTAATGCGCAACATATCACCTCATCTGAATCTTTTTCTACCCCACCCCTGTCTTTGCACAAACGAGTATTTCTTCTTATTACGGGAGTTTGATCGAGTATTTCTTATTACAGGAGTTTGATCGAGTATTTCTTATTACAGGAGTTTGATCGAGTATTTCTTATTACGGGAGTTTGATCGAGTATTTCTTATTACGGGAGTTTGATCGAGTATTTCTTATTACGGGAGTTTGATCGAGTATTTCTTATTACGGGAGTTTGATCGAGTATTTCTTATTACAGGAGTTTGATCGAGTATTTCTTATTACAGGAGTTTGATCGAGTATTTCTTATTACGGGAGTTTGATCGAGTATTTCTTATTACGGGAGTTTGATGCTTTCTTACACATGTTTTTTTTTAATGTCTGCTGAGCAACAAGCCAAAGGCCACTTTTTATTTGTGCATCCAGCAAACTGCTTCACGTTTCTCCTTGTGGATCGAGCAGTCTAGTAGTTAGAAAAGGGAAAAGAGTTCAATAATCATTCCTTAAACTGCTATCAATACCTTTGTGACAGCATGTCTCTTCTCTTTCTGTGCCCCGACACCCTAATGACTTTGGCTTTCCATCGAAATGTCTGCATGCTTGCTTACTCTGTCCCACCTAATCCAAACTTCTGTATTACATGGACCTAATAGTAACACCCATAGAGCATTCTGTGTGCCTATGGCATTGGGCAAAATAGAATACGATTCTATTCTCTTAATGTGTACAATGAGTCTACAGTGTGGCTACATTAATTTAATCACTTCAAATAAGAGTACAAGCACTCAGGAAGGGTAATTTAACATGCTGCAGAGCAAGATGGAAAGTCAGATTTGCCCAACAGAATGACTGTCTATTCCCTACAGCAGGCCACTCCACTTTTCAAATCACTGTTTATCAGTTTTCAGAATCTCACCTCTGAAATCTGTGTATTTTTATTTGCTTTGCTGGTTTTTGTTTGTGGCTTGTTTTTTGTTTTGTTTTTATTTTAGAGACGGATTTCTCTGGCTATCCTGGAACTCGCTCTGTAGACCAGGCTGGCCTTGAACTCACAGAGACCCACCTGCCTCTGCGTCCCAAGCACTGGGATTAAAGGTGTGTGCGCCGCCGCCGCCGCCGCCACCACCCAGCTTGAAATCTGAATATTTTTAACCTTAAATTTTCAATATGCTCACACCTAAGCACCTATTGCCATAATGGACTTTAAAGTATTTTCACAACTTACAAAGGGAACCCATGACCTTCAGTAGTCATCCCCTCCTTCATCTCCTCACATGTCTCCTCAGCCTTAGACAACATCAATCCACTTCCTGTCACATACGCCTGCTTCCTCTGGACATGTCTTACACATACAAAGTGTTACCGTTTGCGCCTGGTCTCCTTCACTTAGCATAGTGTTTTCTGGGTCTGCTTACACGCCCAATTCTTCTATGGATGGCCTTCTAGAAGCTTTGTGTCCACCTTCACCCCTGGATAGACATTAGGCGTAGACTATAGTTGCTTGAGTCACATGCTAGGTCTACGTTTTAGGAACTCTCATCCTCTCTGACACCATTTGACAACTCCCGCCTGCAAGAGGAGAGGCCTTGCGTCGACTGTGCGTCGCTTCTGGAACCTTGATTAACAGAGTTCAGTACGTACCTCTACAGTCATCCCACGCCCATATTGACATTTAGGGCGCATGTGTCTGCAGATCCACAGTACTCGCAGCTGGTGAGCTGAGATGAGAAGCGTTGTCCCCAACCCCCTCAGGAGGCCAAATGCGGGGAAAGATGCAATCAAACCAGAAATGAGGCCGCCTCAAACCAGAGGCACCGAGTGCTCCTCTCCACCTGGCTAACCAGCGGGTGCTGCTCATGGGATGGAAAGCTAAGACAAGCCCCGAAGAATCCATAGGATCCCGTCCAGCTAAGAAACAGGAGTGTGCTTCAGACAAACACACAGAGAGGGAGGGGTGTGAAAAGTGCAAAACACAGCTTCCATTCCAGAGAAAACATGTTAATTTATTGCTGCTCAAATATAAGTGATCATGGTCTGTGGTACAGTGATTCAGACTATAACCAAATGACATATTCCACCATGGATGAGATTATGTGATTTTTCTCATAGTTGCAGGACCAAAAACAAAAGTCACAAATGAATATACTTTCCAAACTTATTGTTGAGGACATCAGCTAGACAGGTAACAACCAACCAAGCAGAGAAGTCTCTGCCTACGTATTTAAGATGTTACGACTTCCTTAGCCTTTGGGTCAGTAAATACTGGTGTTCTGCTAAGATAATACAGTCCAAAGATCTCACCTGGAGTAAAAGGGAATGTTAGGTCAGATGGGAACATGGGTGGAAATGGCTGCTAAGGGGAATAAAGACAACCCAAGCTCATTTTATTTCTGGATCTATAACATGCCACCACTCAATAATCAAGGACGTTTTAACGAGTCCCCAGAATCCTCTATGTAGATATGACATTGGGATCACGGAGTAACATGAGATCACACAGGAAAGATAGGACTGTCTCCAGTGGAAACAAAGAGTTTCTGCAAAATCCACAGAAAGATGGGAGTTTTATTCTGAAGGCAATGGGAAAACGTCAGGATTTTGTCATCCAGTGTGGGAGAATTATTTCAGCAATGGGAGGAGGGAACCAAGACAACAGAAGTCAGCTAGCAGACATAAAGTCGCCGGAAAGAGGAACTATGAACAAAAGTGGCCAAGAAGGTAACAGTGTTTATTGGGAAAGTAGATACAGTGGAGGGGAAGATGAAAAGCCAAAGATGGGACCAGGTTCTGAGGCTGCTCAAGGAGGTGGGGGATGGAGATGCGTTTGGAAGGATCGACCATAGACCATCAAAACACCCCGAGTCCCAACTAACAGATGCACCACAGCCCCCGGTGGCTTTTAGACGACATGTTAGTTACTTCTCACAGTTCTGAGGCCAGGAAGTCCAAGTGCAAAGTAGATCAGATGAGGATGCTTTCTGGTTCATAGACAGCACTTGACTATGTCCTCACACAGCAGAAGCAGGGGGAAACCTGAAGGCACAGACACATTCATGAACCAACCATCTCCCAAAACAACTAGCTCCACATACAATCACACAGGGAATTAGACTTAAATGTGTACTTGGGAAACACAAACAGACCACAGCAGGGGGTTACCATGGTGGTTCAGATGTGGCTGGAATTAACCCACAGAAATGGCAAAGATCACAACAGAATGTATGTAATAGCTCAGGACTTAATGACACCATGTGCAAGCTAAGAATATTGAAAAGGTTTGTGACCCATGAATCTTTGCAAGACGTTCGGAAGAGATTTTTCCAAGTGAGTCCAATACAAAAAATTGGGAAAGGCTTTAAGCTGGATGTGTGTATGGGGAGAGGAGTGTGTGTGTGTGTGCACATGCACACACGTGATTGGGGTTTGGTTTGGTTTTCACCATGGCATAAAGCTACTGCAAAGATCCCCACAGTAGGCTGGACTTATGAGTTTTATTACTATGCCCTCATGTATGGCAACAGGTAACAAGTGTAGAGTATTTAAAACTATCAAGAGGTAAACATCAAAAACTTAATCACCCTGTCTGCTACATGTGCAAGTTCATATAGGTGCATGTGTGTGCTATGCGTGTGAGTGCGTTTTCACATGGATGTATGTCAGGTGACTTCTCCAGTTGCTCTCCACCTTATTTCTGTTATGATCTAGGTTCCATGAGAGCTCATCAATTTTGGGAGACCGGGTGGCCAATAAGCTCCAGGGATCCACCTGTCTCTGCCTTGCCTCACAGCCAGCACTGGGAGTACAGATGTGCATTACCACACTTACCTTCTGAGTGGGTGACCAAGATCTGAGCCCAGGTCCTCCCCTTGACCCCACGCTGAGTGTGAAAAGGAACACTAACTACTTTATAATATTTCTGGGTATCTTCTTTTTAGTTGAGGATGTTTATTATTTTGACCTTTCTTGCTACATTTTTTATCAGGGGTAGACGTTTGTGTATTTCATATTGGTTACTTGACTTTAAGGCTCTCTAGAGGAATCTAACTTATTTGACAGTGAAGATGGGGAGGCAGAGGAAAAAATAATACACCAGTTAACAGAGGAGTAGGCAGCATTCCTTTGGAAGTCAAAGGAATCCCACACAGAGGATCTGGTCTTTGTGCCACTTCTTAGTCTCCAAGTGCGCTCAGGTGAGCGTGATCAGTCCAGGGGTGCCCTGGCTGATAGACACTAGAAAGAGGTACTGCAACTTCCTTACCGTAGTTACTGGGATGATGACCCAGTCCTGAGTTTATCACAGTACTACTTCCTGGAATCACGTGGACTAGCCTGGTGACCAGGACTCTTTCTAGTGGTTGTTGGGACTTCCTCTCTCCCAAGAATATAAGTGAAGAAGTGTGTGAGTCTCCGTGCTTTTATAGCTGATTTATGAACATGAAGGAAACAGTTCTTGGAGCAGGTCCAGGGAGCCAGACAAAGCCACAGCATTCAGAGACACAAACTAAAGCTTTGATTAAAGCAGTTCTAAAGTCCCCACATCTTGGTGATTGTCGAATCTATCATCTGTTGGGTTTTCTGTCACCTGCACACCTAAGTGTGGCATTGTTGGGAGATGTCATTCTGTGAATATGTGTCTGATTGGTTTGAAAAAAGCACCGTTGGCCAATAGGGAAGCAAGATAGGTGGGACTAGGAGTCAAGGAGGATTCTGGGGAAGAGAGGCACAGTTAGTCACGATGTAGGCCACAAGAGGAGTAAGAGGTCCGGACCCTTTTCTCTGGTAAGAGAAATACTTAGATTAGCAATTACGGGTAAACAATTAAGTCAGAGCTAGCCCATACGAAATCATAGCAAATGGGCCAACAGCTTCATAACTAATATAGCGTCTCATGTGCTATTTGGGGGGCTGAAAGCGGTAACAGGACCCTGGTGGGAACACAGCAACATGGCATGATGTAGAAAGGGTCTGTATTTCTAGTTTAAAATTGAATACTATGATGAGAACTGCCATCCCCTTAAAGCAGGAAAGGGCCTTACCTACCTTCTTCCGTTGGCCTTGTCCAAGCCGTACAGAGGTGAGACGGAGCAGCGTTGTACAGGAGCTGTTCCCCCCAGACACTTGGCCTGTGCATAGCCAGTGGGAAAGGATATCAGACACTAATCTGAGTCATGCACAGCTGAAGAACATAGTGAACTATGAATGACTTAGCACCTTCCGGGTCTTTCTTCAGTTAGACATCCTCTGACACACAGCCACTTATGAAATTTCCATCCTAGAGGGGATGCGTGACTCCCCAACCCCCCACTCCATCAACACTGTCCTCATCACGCACATTTTAGGTTACATAATTAGCCTGAGTCCAACTGGCTGAGAACCTCTTGCCACATCACATCCTTTAAGCGAGTGGTTCATCTCTGTGCAAGTCAACCTTTGACAGTCAGTGCGGAGCCTGGGGAGGGCTGGGGAGTACTGCAGTCTGGTGCCTGCTGATCATATGCAAAGCCTTGGCTTGAATCCCCAGAAAAAAAATTTAAAAAATCTATCCTCACTGTTTAATTACAATCTTGATCCCAGGGAAGCAAGCAAGCAAACAAACAGGTTAGCGCTGGAATGATTTTGTGTCTTGGGTTAGTTTTCATAGGGGAGCTATTCAGCTCGCTACAAATGGCTATTCAAATGGCGTGCCTCCAGCTGCTAAAGGCTACTCTTTGTACTGCACGTTGGGAAAAATCAAAACAGAAGCTGAGTTTCAGATCCTTAGGGGGCCACTATATGGCTCCTTTCAGATCTGCCTGATGCGCCGCTTCTGCGGACTTCGCAATCAGTACTCCGGGCAGAGCGCCAGGCAAGAGCTGCTGGTGCAACTAAGACAAATTGAGTTTGAACTAAACATTTTCATAAATTTTGGTGTACCACAAAATTAACACATCATGAGAAAAGTCTGAAGTTTGAAAAATGGGGTTTGAAAAGAACATGATTGAACCCCAGGCAGCATTCTCCTGAGTCTGATCACTCTTTCAAGTTGACCAGAAGAAGTCAAGTGGTACATGGGAACAGCGGGCGGTCGTCCTGTTGACTTCTCTTTCTTCTTCTTTTAGCCTCTTTTTGGGGGGTTTGGATTTTAAATAATTCTAGTTTAAAAAGGTAATTACCTCTTTAATTATGCCAAACTTTAATCTACCATAGGGGGAAAAAATAAATGAAAGCAACTTCTTGCTAGTGGAGACAATTTGCCTGAATGTACGTTTTAGGGTCAGTTCAAAAACACTTGACGTAAAATTTACACAAGGGCGGTTGAGACGGCACAGCAGCTATGCAGGCCCTTGCAGCACAAGCCTCTTGACTGAGTTTGAGCCCTAGAACACACACAGGTAGAGAAAAGGAAACCAACTCCAAGAAGTTGTCCTCTGATCTCCACAAACATGCTGTGGCATGTGCCTGCCTCCACAGAACATCACATACCCACAATAGTGATAAATAAAGTATGTTTTAATTAAAAACCTAATAAAGTATTTATCCAAAAAGTTTTAGAAGTTTGAAAGCGTAGTTACATGGAAATAAAGTCCTTGATGATACGAAGCCTACAGTAGCACAATCTGCCTCTAGCAATAAGCAAAACACACTTGGGGGAGGGAAGGAGGATCTATTACAAGTAAAACCTCGCAGATATACCCATCCTGCAGCCCACAAGCCAGATGTTGCAGCACACACTCCAGGACAGCTATAAATGCCTCCCAAAGTAAAATTGTAAACATACTTAAATCATTAGGAGATATTGTGGTGTGTGTGTGTGTGTGTGTGTGTGTGTGAGTGATTTCATACCTTGATTGTGTAGTTCTCCATGCCTTTTTATTGTGAACTTTGTAGAAGATAACACAACATTCCTGAAAAACATTTTCCCTGTTGAACATAAAAGCTTTTGTGTTGCTTGCATGCACTGATCAAACTCTTTACTCAGGACAGGCATTCTAAACCTGAGTGTCATGTCACACAATAATTTACCTGATATTTATCTGCCAAAAGTTATAATTTAACAAATGTTAATGTCTTCCCTAGAGATCTGGAAATTAGCTTTTAACTTAGCAAAGTTGTTCATTGAGTAAAATCATACGATGCCCCCAAATCTAAGCTCTTACAAAAATAATTGAAAATCAGGCTCCTAAGTGGTTATACAGGTTATATGGATGCTATTAGAAGGAATGTTAATAATGGAATTCTCTTTGGTTTCTAGGAAAACACACAGAATATCCTTTACCTTTTCCCCTGTGCTAGTGACTGGGCACAGGGCCTCATGCATGCCAGGCAAGCACCCTACCACCAGCCTACACCCCCAGCCCCAAATGCTGAGAATTCTTGACTGCCGTGTGAATAACTCTTGTGCAGGCGGCGTATCCCCCAAGCTCATAACCGTGGCCCAAAAATGAGGCAGTGGTCTGTGAGCTGAGTATACTTCATAGTCATTGCACATGACCCGGTGCCCAGTTCTATCGTAAGATACCTGGGTACTTGAGAATGCGGAAGCTGTTTTTATACAGATTCACTTAGCTGTAAACCCCAAGTTCTCACCTGCGTGTTCAGACCGTCCTTCATTTTGCAACTCCCATATCTCTATCCTGCGGTCTTGAACCCGTGTCCTGCCTATTTCAGTTCTCTGTGGAAATCTCCACGCCTTATAGATGTAAAGTCCTTTATGAAGGTTATTGATGTTACAAATAAGTAATCAAATCCAATATTATCTAAATATCATATATGATAAGCTGAGTACACTGAATTTGTAGATGTTTTATTTATTTAGAAGGGGGCCTCACCGTGTAGCCCCTGCCTGGCCTGGAACTCACAATGGAAACCAGGATGTCCTCAAACACAGAGGTCTAACTGCCTCTGCCTCCTGAGTGCTGAGATTAAAGGTGTGGGCCACCATTCCCATTAGGAGGTATTTAGCAAACAATTTAGAAACTTTAGTAATGGGGGAGAAAAAAAAAAACTGCTGGAAAATAAAGGCACTTATCCCTAGCCTATTCCTTAGTGTGCCTGCTGTACGTTATTGCTGGTGCAAACTGAACAGGATTCTGTGCTAACCAGAAACTCTCTCTCATCTATGAACAATAAGGATGAAATACCCAAAGTACACAATACTGAGAGTGCCATTCGTCTTCACTGTCAGCCTGGCTAGACTTAGCATCACCATGGAAACATATCCCGGGAAGGTCAATCAATCAGAATTCTCACCGAGTTTAAGCTCGGAAAAGAGATCACCATGAATGTGGGCAGCACCACACCATGGGCTGAATCCTGGACTGAAACAAACTAGAGACAGAGAGCTGAGCACCAGCCTTGCACCCTCTGCTTTCTGATTGTGGATGTCACGTGACCGACGGCTCAAGGTCCTGTACCTTCCAGCTGAGGACCCCTCTTCCTTTTCTGCCGCTTGTCGTTGGATGTTTGGTCACAACAAGGAAAGAAGTAATGGGCGTAGGGGCACTATGGAGACAAGCTGCTGTGGGATAATCCTCGTGTGCACTGTAAAGACTTCTCACTCTGATTAGTGGAATAAAACGCTGATTGTCCGATAGCCAGGCAGGAAGTATAGGCAGAGCGGCCAAACAAAGGACGATGGGAAGGAGAAGGGGCGGAGAGAGGAGTCACCAGTAGACGCAGAGGCTGCAGGAGATAAACGTGGAATGCTAACAAAGGTACAGACACGTGGGGGGGGGGGGTTAGCGAAGGAATATGGGTTAACTTAAAATGTAAGAGCTGCTGGGCGGTGGTGGCGCACGCCTTTAATCCCAGCACTCGGGAGGCAGAGGCAGGCGGATCTCTGTGAGTTCGAGGCTGGGCTGGACCGACAGCCTCCTAAACAATACAGAGAAACCCTGTCTCGTAAAAACCAAAAAAAAAAAAAAAAAAGTAAGAGCTAGTTAGTAATAAGCCTAAGCTGTGGCCCAGCATTCATAAGTAATACTAAGTCTTTGTGTGGTAATTTGGGAAGCAGCCCCCGGGTATTTGGGACCTAGCGGCTCCAAGACAGGAAACTTCCGCCTACAACAAGCGCATCTGATTGACATGTGTTTTCCTTTTGTCATTTAGTTTTTGTTCTGCACTGCTTTGACTTTTGAGTTTCGTCATATGCAATGATACAAAGATTGAGTCGTAATATGTATTACATGTCTGTCTTAGTTGGGGTTTCTGTTGCTGGAAGGGACACCAGGACCACAGCAACTCTCATAAAGGAAAAACATTTAATTGGGGTAGATTACATTTTCAGGGGCTTAATCCATTATCAGCATGGTGGCGTGCAGGCCGGCATGATTCTGGAGAAGTAGCTGAGAGTCCTGCATCTTAACTTGCAGGCAGCAGGAAGTGGTCTGAGATACTGGGCATAGCTTGAGCATGTATGAGACCTCAAAGCCCACCTCCACAGTGACACACTTCCTCTCCAACAAGGCCACATCTCCTAATAGTGCCACTCCCTATGAACTTATGGGGGGCCGATTGCATTAAAAATAGCACAATATGATAATATTTAAATTTCTTGATGTATATCACTAGGAACTTAGGATTTTACTACTTGGTTAAATGTCTCAGAATCAGAAATTTACTTGCCTTCACTGAAGCAACAAAGCAGCAGCAGGTAGTCAAAAGCCACCCACAGAAGTCTTTCCGTCTTTGAAAGTGCGATAACCAGGAGTAGAGCCCAGCCTGACGAATCCATAAGTAAAGTGCCTCCGGAGCTGCGAAGCCTGGCCCCTGAAACCATCCAAGTTTGCTATGACCTAAATTCTCAATCACATAATGAAAAATATCAAGAAAAATTCATTACCTTTTGAGAAAGTTCTAGACGAATCAGTTGCTTGCACTGGAAAAGTAAAAATATTGATATTATGGTTATATTTTTTCAGATTTGAATTTCATTAATAGGCACTTGGTTCAGAAAGAAAACTGTCACTTGTCTGAAAATCACTGAGGACCAGGACAATGCTGATTACGTCGGAGGCCGGGTTACTGGCACCCACCCTGAGCTGTGAGGTGTGAGGTGTGAGTGCATTCCTATCTGTTTTGAAGCTGCTCAGTGTTGACGCAGCTGGGGTTGGCCCCTAGTCATGTGACTATGAATCTGCAGATGAACTGGCAACATGGCAGCATGAGCAGATGTACGGTCAGTCCCAGCCAAGATTCTCATGCTGTTGGATTCCTGTTTGGTCTTTGGCCTTCGCTTTAGCACTGAGAACTCTCTCCAGACTTTTGTATGTGAAGTAGTGCTTGCTTGTTTAAAGGATTTAGTCACCTTCTCTGCACGCTGGGAAGATTGCTCTTATCATGGTTTCCACATGAGACCGTGGGAATGTTTGCAGGTGAAACATAAGTGTAAAGTCATTTTTTAAGCCCTGGCTTAGTATGACTCATTACAATTCTAGATCCAGTTTTGGCCAAATAAAGAGGAAAATTTTACCAACTGATGGCCGCCTGATGACCTGTGTGGAAAGAATTGGCGGACCCCGGAGAGCACACAATTGAGAGAAGTGATCACATCACCAGATGTGACATCATTGTTTGGCACCAGCTGCCAACCTGGGCATAGAGAAGGCATAGTCCGCTCAACTCTTGAGTTTCCCCTCTGGATTCTTCTGGGGTTCGGCAGAGGGCACTGTGCATTAGTGCCTCTAATGGTAGTTATACCGATGGAAAGACCAAGGTAAGAGACCCAGCCTAATGGTTACATGTTACTATCACTTATAATACTGTAGCCTGTAAATAAGTATGGAATGTTACAGGTCAATTAAAATTCAAATGTAAAAACCAGCAGGCACACAAGATGATAGCCTAGGGAAGTTCCTGGATTCACTGTTATCTGTGTTTCCCCACAATGGACTCTTAGGGGTGAGAAATGAACCAATTGCCTCAGAAGATATTTATTGCATGATGAAATATTTAGACAAGTCCGTGTTACAAATCTTCCTTCAAGTTTATGACAATCGTTTTGGGATTACTGGACAGATTTAACCTTTTAGTCTTACAAGTATAGAAAATTGTCCAAAGGTGGGTAAATTTCTCTCCTTGACCAACACTGTCCTCTCCCCCACCCCGTGTGTGTGTGTGTGTGTGTGTGTGTGTGTGTGTGTGTGTGTGTATGTATACAGGTGTGTACATAGAGGCTAGAGGGGAACTCTGGGTGCCTGCTCTATATCAGTCTTCAACTTAGTCCACTGAGATATCTTAAAGAACCTGGAGCTAGTGTAGCAGCCAGCAGACCACTGTATTCTCTGCCTTCTACAGCATTAGGGTTACAGATGCACACAGCCATGGCTGGCTTTTTATGTGAGTGCTGGGGTTTTGAACCCAAGTCCCCATTCTTACATAGCAAGTGCTCCTAACCTAACCGAGCCATCTCCCCAGCCCCTGAACTGCCCTCCTTACACACGCCCCACACCTGAATACTTGGGTGTTCCTGATTATATGCATAAGATGACATCTGGCAATGGTAACGGAAAGTTCAAAGATCTGCTGCTCCTCATCAAAAGCCTGAAGTCCGTAGCGGAGCTACAGTGAGAATGGGAAGTGAAATGGGTATCTGAACTATCTGAAAAAGGGACAGACATAAAAAGTGCCGGGAAGACTCAGAAGCTAGAGAGACGGGGACGCTGGGGCAAAGGCGCAAATCTGAGCGGATCTTGCGGGCAGGGCAGATCCCCATCACCACAGGGACCTACTGCGAGTAAGGAAAGCCCCTCCCTGCCCCACAGACAAAGGAAACATCAGGGTATGCAGTATCAATAGATCCAAGGGCTCAGGCAACACAAGAGTTGTGGGAAATGATGTCAGAGACGCAATCTGTGGACACTGAGCCAACAGCAAAAGGTCATGTAGGAATGGAGGGTCTGTACCACAACTCTTCACACAGAAAGATAAACCGGGTCTGTCCAGCGCTGTGTGGATGGACTGGGTAATGAAGAGCCCAAAGGCGGCATTGTGGTTTGAATGAGAATGGCCTGCACGGCTCATACATATGGGTGCTTGGTGGCCAGTTGGTGGAACTGTTTGGGAAGGATCGGGAGGTGTGGCCTTGCTGGAAGAGGTGTCTCACTAGGAGAGGGCTGTAAGAACTCAGAAGCCCATGCCGTTCCCAGGTAATCCTCTTTCCCCGTCTTATGCTTGTGGATGGAGAAATAAATTCTCAGCTACTGCCCCAGTGCCATGCCTGCCTGCTGCCATGTTAGCACCATGATGGCCGTGGACTCTCGCCCTCTGAAATGTAAGTCCATAACCAACCCTCTCTTCTTTAGGTCACTTTGATCTGATCGTGGTGTCTTACCACAGCGATAAAACAGTAGTTAGGCAGACTGTCCTGTACATAAAGGTTTCTCTCCCACCCTCCAGTTCCTGAATAAACACTCAGAGGCTTAATATTAATTATAATTGCTAGGCCAGTGACTCAGGCATATTACTGACTAGCTCTTGCAATTAAATTAACCCATTTTTATTAGTCTGTGCATTACCACACGGCTGTGCCTTACTGGTAATGTCCTGGCATCTTACTCCTTGGGCAGCTACATGGCATCTCCCTGACTCTGCCTTCTTTCTCTCCCTGCCTCTGTTTGGATTTCCTGACTAGCCACACTCTGTCCCGCCATAGGCCAAAACAGGTGTATTCGTCAACCAATGAAAGCAACACACATTGGCAGGGTACCCAGGGACATTCCGCGTCAGTGTTCTGGTGTGCTTCCTGTTGCTGTGACAAACATCTGGGCCAAAAGCATCTTGGGGTGGAAAGGGTTTGTTTTACTCGAGACTCTCAGGTCTGTTATCAGAAAAAGTCAGGGCGGGAACCTGGGGGCAGGAGCTGATTCAGAGGCTGTGGAGGAGCGCTGCTGGCTGGCTCGCTCCCTGGGCTGTTTCAGCCTTCTTTCTAATACCACCCAGCACTACCTGCTCAGGATGGCACCATCCACAGTGAGCCAGGCCCCTCCCATATCAATAGATGATCAAGAAAATGCCTCGAGGATGTTCCTGCAGGACAATCGTTTGGAAGCATTTTCTCAGTTGAGGTTCACTGTCCTAGGTCCTAGGTGATCTCAACTTGAGTCAAACTGACAAAAAAAGGAAAAGAAAAAGCACACAGGCAGACTCAGACAAACACTGGATGTTTTTTATTGCATGAAGTTTATCTTTAAATTAATATATACATATTTGTGAAATTAAAGGATAAAGAGGCTACGATATGAGAGGCAGAAAGAAGTCTAAAAGGGGCTTGGAGAATGAGAGAGGGTGATGTAATTATATACGACATGAAAGTAAATGCAGGGAATAAGGACATGAGCAAGATCAGAGCAAAGAGGACAGGGGAGGGTACAGGATGTGTTCAATAGACACACACACACACACATCAGACACCACACACAGACACAGACACACACACACAAACACACACACACCCATCAGACACATACACACACACATCAGACACCACACACAGACACAGAAACACACACACACAGAAACATAGACACACACAGACACACACACACAGAAACATAGACACACACAGACACACACACACAGAGACACACAGACACAGAAACACACACACAAACAAACACACACACACACAGAAACATAGACACACACAGACACACACACACAGAGACACACAGACACAGAAACATACACACAGATATTATCTTGCACATCAACCAAAAAGTTAATAAAAGAAAAACAAACTTTCAAAGGACAGGCAGAAAAGGAACCACACACACACCCCCAACAGCAGGGAGTTTGGTTAAAAAGCAGTGTCATCCGAAAGAGGGATTAATTAAAAGTCATCATTTGAAAGGGAATCGATGGAAAGGGGATCGATGGAAGGATTCTTTGAAAAAAATCCCTGAAGACTTTAAGGCTGAAAGGAACGGAAGGAAGATTGCCTTAAAAGCAGAATTTTGTCTGAGTGGAGCTAAGTAGTTGTGGGTGGGGTAGAGATCTAAGGAGTCAAAACATAGTCTGAGGTTTTGAGCTGAAGTGGGAGGAAGATGATGTCATCCATTGACACAAGGCTCATGAGAAGCAAATTTGAGAGAGACAGAGAGAGAGAGAGAGAGAGAGAGAGAGAGAGCAGATTCGCCGTTTGTCAACTTTTTCTTTTTCTTTTCCTTTTTTTTTTTAGTTTTGGGAAACAGGATTTCTCTTTGTAGCCTTGGCTACCCTGCAGCTCACTCCACAGACCCGGCTAGCTTCAAACTCACAGAGCTCTACCTGCCTCTGCCTCCTGAGTGTTGGGATTAAAGACATGAGCCACCAACCACCCCCTAACCCCTGCTTCATTTGCCAATTCTTGTAAGGAAAATCCCGCTCAATTTTTTAAAATTTTTGTTTATTCTCTCATACAATACATCCTGACTGCTACTTCCCCTCCTTCCACTATTTCCAGTCCCCTCCCCCCACCTCCTCTCTCACCCACATCCACTCCCCACGGCCATTCCAATCTCCCCCCAAAAAGAGCAGGCCTCCCGGGGGGAATTAGTGGAACATTGCACAACGAGATACAATAAGACCAGGCACAAACCCTCCAATCAGGGCTGAACCAGGCAACCCATTCATAGGAAAAGAGTCCCAGAATCAGGCAAAGAGTCAGGCATCCCCACTGTTGGGAGTCCCTCCAAAACACCAAGCCAAACAACTGTACCATAAATGCGGAGGACCTAGCACAGACCCACGCAGGCCCCTCGATTGGCCGCTCTGCTTCAGGCTCTGTGAGCCCCGTGACCTCTGCTTAGTTGATTCCATAGGCCTTGCTACCCTAGTATCCTCCACTCCTCTGTCTCCTCCTCCCGCTCTTCCACAGGGTTCCCCAAGCTGAGGCAAAGA